TAGGCATGATTTTTTCATAATGCAGATTTTTCACACACTTTTGTACACACACATGCATATACACACTCTCTCTAGATGTTCCTAAACTAGAATCACCAAGGAAGCACCGGATTAAGCGAACATTATCATATGATACAATAATAGAATTGTTAGTGTGCAATAAAGATGAGATATTTTGATACCAACACTATTCTGATTCCTACAAAAAAAAGTTTAAGAAATGCAACTCAGAACCGGGTTTTCCCACCCTGGTATGTAATGAAACATGAAAAGGGGTCAGGTTCAGGGCTCCGTTAATGAAGATTTAGTTGTGGTAATATTTTATTACTAAAGACATGCTCACCCAAGGTGGAAGAAAATTGCATTATCCTCCCCGACCAGCCTTAAGGAGGGCGGCCATGTTCGCACACAACGCTCTGTTGTCTCTTGCTGAGAGGAGAACAGTGAAATCTCCTCTTAGCTTTGCAGGAAGATGGCTTGAAAGAATGTATACACCAAAGGCCAGCAGAGCCAAGCCCCGCCCCGGAAGTCACTGGAGGGCTTCCTGATGTGTGCCATACACAACACAGCTTTTTGCTTGAGCGCAAGGGCTTTGGGGTGTGGGTCTGAAAGAAGACACAGAAGTTGGGGCCCAATCTGTGTTTGCACCGCATCTACCACTGCTTCTTCATGCAGACACAGCAGTGCTGGAAGAACTTAGCATCAGCAAACTCCAGACGAAGCCAACTCCATACACCCAGAGGACCAACAACCTGCCTTAGCCCTGGACTCTGCCTGAAGCTGTCACTCCTGTAGCTTGTGAATGTGTGAAAGGGGAGTCTTAGTATCATTTGCTCATGTGATTATCCTGTTATTTCCATGAGGGGAATCTTCAAAAAGTTCCTAGAAAATGCATTATTCTTAAAAAAATGCATAGGTTTTTAAAAATTTTGCACTAGGGTAAACTTATCTATTCATTCCATTTACCTTGAATTTTTAAAGAATTTTTTTAAAAGGATTTTTGTTTATTTATCTGAGAGGAAGATAGAGACGGACGGAGGGAGAGAGAGCTCCCATTGCCTGTGATGCTGGGACTGCAATGGGCCGGAGCGGGGAGCTGGAGTTCAGCCCAGGTCTCACACGGGCCTCGGGGTCTCAGCCACTTGAGCCATCACCACTGCCTCCCAGGATCTGTATTAGCAGGAAGCTGCAGTCAGGCACGGAGCCAGAACTCAAACCCAGGCGCTGATATGAGACACGAGTGTCTTCACCCGCATCCTCACTGTTAGGCTCAACGCCTGCCCATCCTCAGATTCAGTAAGCAAATACAAAGTTCTAGGGATGAAAAAGAATGTCAGATAGTGAAAGACTAGGCTACGAAGTGATGAAAGCAGCCTTCCAAAACGAAAAATGAGAATAAAGAAATCATTCTTTGGTCTCTGGAAAAAAATAGATCTGGACTCTGCTTACTGTGGGTCTTCTCGAATCCAGGCGTCACTTCCTCGGTGACACAGAGGTTCATGTCCAGGTGTTACCTACCAGGAGGCCTTGTCTTCTGAACAACCTGCCTTCCTCTCCCCTATAGGGGCTGTAGCAGCATCAAAACAAACTCCACTGGTTTCCCAGGCTGGCAGACCACCAGGGCCTCGTTAGCGCAATAATACATACTAGAACTTTCTTCCCCATAGGGAGTATATTTGGGGGATATTGGAGGTTTTAGAATTAGTCTTTCCAGAAAAGCATCCTTTAACTATAGCTCCTTCCTTTTCCCCCACTGACAATTCCACATCATTTCGGAAAATAAACTTATAAGCTGATCTTTGGCTATAAGAATATGTTGATATCTCTACGAGAAATCTGAAGAAATGCTTTGGGGGGGCTATTTGTTATTTTTCTAGTATCTTGTTTTTTATTGGTTGACTCATTTGAAAAGCAGAGAGAGGAAGCAAGATCTTTCATTCCCTGATTCACTCACTAAATGCCCACAGCAGGCTTGGGCTGGGCCAGGTTAAATCCAGAAGACTTAAACTCAACGTGGGTCTCCCGCATGGGTGGCAGAGACACTGGAGCCATTACCCGCAGGTGTGTATCAACAGGAAGCTGGAGTTGGAGGTGCCCGGATGTGGAATGTAGGCAAGCCAAGTGGCATCTTAACTGCTGTCCCAAATAACCACTCCTATTTATTTCTTTATGAATCTATTTATCAGAGAGACACAGAGAGTTCCCATCCCCTGGTTCACTCCCCGAATGCCCACAACCAGGTCAGCACTGGGAGCTGGGAGCTCAACCCAGGTTTCTACATAGGTGGCAGGGACCCAACACCTTGAACCATCACCTGTTGCTTCCCAGGGCGTGCACCAGCCAGCAGCTGGAAACAAGGGTGCAGCCAGGACTTCAACCGGGGCACTCTGATATGGGACGGGGACATCCCAAGTGGCATCTTAATAACCGTACTAAATACCTACCCCTCCAAATTTTCTTATTTCCACTCTTGATGGTCATTTGTCCTTCTTCTAATGTTGAATCCTTTACATTGCATTTGAGACTCTTAGAACTGAAGACTATGTTGACATGGCAACAAAAATAAATCAATATTAATACAAGGCAAGTGATGATGAGCAAATGCCCACTTCATCTGTGAGGATAGGTCACTGCAAATTCAGCTTACACGAAGGAATTGTTAAAAAAAAAAAAAAAAAAAAAAAAAAAAAAAAAAAAAAACTCATTACAAGACGTTTTGATTCACTTGCTTGTCCTTTGGTAAGTGTTTGCAAAAAAGTAATGAGTGAATAACTGAGTGCGAGAATGCCCAGTGTGTGGCAGGCCCTGCAGACCGCATGTCCTGGATCTATAGCAGGCATGGTTTCCACCCTCAGGAGGCTTACAGTCTAGCAAGGGCTGAAACACGACACCAGCATTCATGGAAGGAATGCTAACAACGCCTTCATTATTGCTGGTGAGTGGTTCTCATTGTCATACCACTCTTTTTTTCTTTCTCCATATGAAGATTAAAGCATCCAGGAAATAATTTTTTAACTGTAAAAGCTGGAAATAATTGTTCCTCTAAAAACCCTACCTCCTGTAATGAGAGCCATTTGCTCAATCCTAGTTGGAGGTAGAAAGTATTGGGTCATATTGACTCTGTCTTGCATCTTTCACATCCACTTGGGCGCCTTAGCTGTCTGGTTTATTATCCAGATATATCTTATATTCATCACATCTTCTTCATTTCCATACCCAAAAGCAAGGTACTGGTTCTCTGGCCCTCCTACCCAAATTGTTCTAGTAAACTCTCAGAATCACAGGCAGAGTAGAATGGAATACTAAAGTAGGCAAAGACCTTCAAGTTATTTCTCTGAGGTTCAGAAAGGCAAATGTCTCACCCAGGACCCATAATTCAGCCTAGCCCCAGGCAGGTCATTAAGTTTTCTTTGGAGCAGCTGTGGAAGACCCTATTCACTGCCTGTTCACAGTCATTCTCACACCCTTCTTCATTGTTAGAAAATCCCACCACGCATGCTAGCAACCAAAAATGGCAAACGCTTGCTTGCCTAGGGAGGGCCGTGTGACCTATTTCTAATGGAAAGTTTTTCTTCCTCACAAAAAGAGAACTCAGAAAGAGTCATCTCCTCCCTCCCTTTCATTCTGTCTTTGGAACTGAACCACAAAAGTCTGGAGACCCCCAGTTCTTAGAACAGAGCCTGATACACAAACCTTACTCCATAAATACCTACTGAATGAATGAATGAATGAAGACCCTCCCACCCAGGTTTTCATGCGTTCTCTCAGTCCCTAGGATTAACACGGCTTTAAAGGTCTTCATGACCCAGCCCTAGTCTGTCTTTCTAGCCTTATCTTTCACTTTCCAGTATCCTCCCACTCAGGGAAACAGGACTAATCCCTATTCTTCAAATGTTCTGCATTAGTCTATTTGTGCCATTATAACAAAATACCACAGCCTGGGCAATTTCTAAGGAACAGAAATTCATTTCTCACAGCCCAAGATGAGAAGCCCAAGACCAAGGCACTGGCAGGTTCAGGCATGGGGTGGGGGCGGTGTTCTCTGGAGGGTAGGGATGCTGTGTTCCACATGGCAGAAGGCGGAAAGGCAAGTCAGATGGCCGCTGAGCAAAACCTCTTTCATGAGGCCCTTAATCCCATCCATAAGGGAGGAGGCTCCCATGGCCCAGTCACCTCGTCAAGGCCCCGCCTCTTAACGGTACCATGTTGGCAGCATCTGAATTTTGGAGGGGACACAGCAAGCCACAGCCTGCCCCTGGGTCTTCCTGATGCAAGACTTTGGCTCACTTGGTTGGTTCCACGGACTGTGCGCCTCCTCTTGCACCCCCATCCTTTTCTGCCAAACTTCAGCTCCAGGTCTTCTCCCATAGCGCTTCCTCAGACACCTTCCAGGTAAGGATACTTTTCCTATTCCGTGGCCCTGTCTCTTTTGTGCCAGCTTTCACTTGACATGTACCATCAGGGTTTGGTGGACTCATTTCTTTTAAATATAAACTCCTAAAGGATTGGAAATTTATCCTCCCAAGAAACAAATATGTTGCATTACCCTAGCAGGGACCTAATACATTTTGGTATGTAAGTGTGGGAATAAATAGTATTATAGCGAGTCCATTTAAAATGTCCGTTTTAGAAACAATTTAGACTCAGGGATCGGTGCCGACTTTCACCAAAGCCAAGGGCTGGATGCGCTACAGGGGGGAGGAAAGGAGGGAGGGGATGAGACTTGTTGGAAGTGTCAGGAGTGAGCCTAGATGCCTTTTCTCCTGCCGAGGATAGCAAAGTTCTTAATGGAAGCTGATTCCAATCAATAGAACCAGACAGCTGATTTATGTAATGGCATCAAGCTGAAGCAGTGGACTCTCTCTCTGCAGAGTGCTGTGAAAAGGGAAAAGGCTACCAGGCCGGGATAACCAGGGGACTCCACAAGTAGATCTGTGGGTCTCAGGCCAGTGTTTCCCACCAGCGAGCCACAGGAGAGCTCCCGAGAGCAGCCACTGGGAGGCTGGAGGCTGGACGCAGCCCGTGGGGCTGGTGCCGCCGCCAGCGCCGGGCTGACACCGCAGCCGCACCGGATGCTCTCAGGAGCTGGGGTCCCGGCTGGGCAGGAGGAGTGGAGAAAGTGAGGGCTGGGAGGTGGGCAGAACTGGCCAAGGAGCTGCCAACGGCGAGAAGAAAGCTGGGGAGAAAAGGAGAGGGAGTTTGAGCCAAGACATCAGGCCGAGGCAGCCGGGGAAATGTCATCGTTGGTGAAGGAGGACTTGCAGAAGAAGCTGTTCAAACCGCTCTCGCAGCATCTGTACGAGTTCATCGAAATCGAGTTCTCGGTGCAGGACAGGTACTACCTCTGCGTGTCAGGTAATCTGTGCTTTGCGAAGCGCCCCGAGCTGCTCCGGGTAGAAGGAACTCTGTGGGCTTGTTCTCCTTTGCCGCACGTGTACCTTCTGCAATAGAGCTTAGCTGTGCCTCCTTTAAAATGTGGACTGGATACAATATTTTTTAAGTGTTGAAATGAAAGAAAAGCGCATTGCATTAAGAATATTTTAACTCAGAAATGAAACCAGATATGCACTCCTTCTGATTTGATTATTTTGCTCTGACCTTAGTTAATTCACTTGTATGGTATGCGTGCAATGTGGGTGTATAAGAGCTTATTTTTTAAAATGCAACAGACAGCTCTCTGTATATTTTGAGATACATTGGAGAACTGAGGTATATAGCTGTATTTCCAGCCGTTCTGGGTTTCTCCCTCTCCACCCTAGGAAAGAAATAAAAACTTAGATTATCTTTTGAAAGCTTATTTAGATTCCATGGTGGTTTATTTCAAATAGAAAAATGATCTTTTAAAAATCTTCCTCTTATAGAGTAAATGCGCTCACAAAAACAATATTTGAATGGTAGAAATTAGTTCAGGAAAATGGAACTTTAAGAATTGGAGAATTTCTCTAAACAAGTTCACTAAAATGAAGATTTATATTCTAGTAATATTTTTTCTTTGTGTTTTTCATGTTCATGAAAATTGCCCAAAGCTAGGAATAGATGTTTGTACTTAATCATGATTTGCCTACCCTGTGATGTTTTTGTGCAGAATTTAGGTAGAATTCTTGTGTTATTGTTGGGTTTAACAGCGCTTCCTTTTCCCAATCCGCGCCTTTAACATTGTTCAGGGTCTCTGGAGCAAAGAGCTTTTAGTCTTTAAATGTTCATTGTGGACTGGCCATTTAAGGCACACACCTGTTTTCAGAAAACAACTTGTTACAACTCTCTTCCCGATCATTGGCTGAAGACCTTCCAGAGGGATCCAGAGGAGGATAGGGCACCTCTCACATGCTAAGAGTGCTTTAAAATCCTGTCGTTTCTAATAGATATCACAATATGTGCTCAATAATAAGAACAGTAGTATTTATCTAACACTCCATCGCATTTTGTTATACAAATACAAAGTGGTATATCACAAATGCAAAAATTTAATCTGCTCAGGAAAAAAAGAAAGAAATTACAGGAAACATCAACTAACGTGATTTAAGGAAGAAACTGTGTTGTATCCTAATCATCAAACCTCTATATCTTGAAGTATTTTTACTTAATTTATTAGAGAAGATGCTTATTCCAACTTAAAGCTTTAATAACTTTATATTTTATGTGAGTCCCACTTTATAAAACTGATTTCTCATTGTGTAACAGTTAAATACAAATATAGATAAAACATAAAAATAAATAATTACAATAATTTTCTATATCTAATTGGCCAAATATATCTTAGTGTCTCCCTCCAAGTAACTAGTATTAATACCATAATTAATAATAACAATAATTAATGGGTTCAATCTGAAATTTCAAACAGCCTCCTAGAATTAAATGTTTGGGAATGATCCAGAGTTTCCATCACGTAAGAAGCATGGAAAAACTAAGGGCTTCTCAGAGGCGGGGAAAGAAGACAATATTCGGAGCTTCCAGAGAAAAGCAAACATCTTACAGTATAAGCCGGATCATGATTATCCTCGCCCTCACCTCCATCAGCGTGAGCGCATTTTCCTCAAGTGCAGCATCTGTTTACGACCCACATAAACCCAAGCTGACAGCACAGTCGTTCACAGGGGCCCACGTGCCTGTCGGTGGTAGATCTCTGCATGCTCTAGTCAGAACACTTCCATGGGGACGGATCAAACAGGTCCCATCCTGAGTGCTGAGGAGGGATCCACACTTGGAGGGCTGGTCGCCTGTGGGGAGGAGACTCACGGACGTCACAGCTTCCCCTTCAAACCCGGCAGTGTGGCCGCTCCACATTGATGAGACCCGCAGGTCCAGAGTAGTCAAATTCTGCCGCGCATTTCCCTGGTAAGGAAAATGGGCATGAATGCAGTTCATCTTCCTGTCCGTCTTGTCCGTCTGCAGGCTCCACCTTGCTCAGGAGGCTTGCAGCCAGCAGTTTGCACCTTCATGTGGAGTCCTGGGGTTCACCTGGCGGATACCAAAAATCAGATGTCATAAATTCAGTTTCCCTCCCTGAAGGTGGCTAGCTGGGGACTCCCTGGGGCCATGGGCCCCTCCCACCTCTGGGTGCATATGGGTCGTTTCTTCCTGGTGTTGGTTCCCCCTGGCCTGGAACACCATTGCCACCGGCAATCAACGCCACACCTCCAGGCAGGCATTTTGGTAGTGGTTAAGTTGTCCCTTAGAATGCTGCATCCCATATTGCAGTGCCTGGGTTCGTCCAGGCTACTGTGCTTTTGATCCAGCTTCCTGTTAGTGTCCCTGCCACCCACATAGAAGACTTAGAATGAGTTTCCAGCTCCTGGCATCAACCTGGTCCAGGCCTGGCTGTTGTGGGCATTTGGGGAGTGAACCAGCTGGTGGAAGATCTCTGTCTGTCTCCCTCTGTCTCTTTGTCTCTGTCTCTCTTTGTGTCTCTGCCTTTCAAATAAATAAAAATTAAAGTAACACCTCCTGATGAAGGAAGAACTCTATTAAAAGCAAGTGTTAAGTGAGCAAGGATGAGAATGCAAATTGTTCAAGAAACAAAGCTGAAAGAATTGAAACAGCGTCTGAAAGCATTAGCCAAAACGGAATGGGAGGTAGCCAAGCGTGGAGGGGCAGACTTTGTAATGGGTGGAGTCAGGTGGGCCTAGAGTGAAATCTGGCCCTGTTTGTTCACCTGCCAGCCTTCAGTCTGGGACAAGATAATTAGCCTCTCTAGACCATCTCTGAAACAGAGAGAAAAATTAGCCCTCTGTGCCCAGAGCTCCTCTGTCAAATCCTGACCAGGAAAAACCCTGAGAAATTACATTCCAAATAACTAGAATAAAAAGTAAGGATATGCTTTTTACATATACAGGACAAATATATTTACTATATATTAAAATATATGCTGAAACGTGTATATATGTTTGTATCATAAGCAACCATTTTAGTAAAAATTAAATAGGTAAGAAACGTATAAGCATATATATTTAATGTAAAATGAATTAATATATAGATTTAAAATTGTATGCATATTCAGATATCTATTATTGGAAGTATTCTCATATCTTTGGGAAAATATTTATAGATATTAACGTGAAAGCAAATGGCACCTGCTAGAACTAGGAAAACAGTATGCCTAGGTTCTCTCCATACATTCCCTTCTGATACCACAACAGTACTTTTGCTCCATGAATCAAAGAATCTAACAATTTTGTCAGATCCCTTATAATAAGAATTTTAACAAAGAGAATGCTAGAAATGATTAAATTGACAAGAAAAGAAGGTTGCCAAAAGCAATTCCACTGCTGCTAAATTTGTGAATTTGCGATATTCTAATGACAAAGAACACAAAGGAGGATGTTTGCATTTCAGTTCAGAGATAATAGCATTGTGTAGGGAGTGCTTAGTTCAATTTTTTCAACTCTAAATTGAGAGCAATTTTTCCACTAATATGTCGTGTTTTGTAAGAATTAAAGCATGAGATAGTGTTTTGAAAAGTTTTCATGCAATTTAAGGTGTTAGTGATAGTGATAGGATAGCAACAATATGGGCAAAAATGTATCCAAACAGCTTTGCATATATCCTGAGAACAGAGCTGAGCACAGTTCATATGTATGTTCTGTTTGATTTTTCAAGTTGCATGATTATTAAGACTGTTGGAGAAGCAACAGTTTATATCTTCCCCTTCATAGCTTGTAGTAGTTTCTTTATTAAATGCGCAAACACTTGGTTCTGCAACGATAGGGCTGTGTTGGGCTCAGAAAGAAAACGCACTTGGAGGAACACTAATTTGATAGTGCTTATTAGTTAGTCCTTATTTTTAAAAATTAAGAAACAATGGACTACGGACTTAGAAAAGGTACATATTAGTAAGAATAAAATTTTTCATGTCATAAAACTTGTCACAAAATTTGGTTAAAATAAGGATTGAGAGATGAGAAACAAAGTAGATTTTATACTTAAAATTCTTTTTCTTTATCTTCTTGCTTAAGCACCCCCATGCCTCCGGCTACACACACACTTGTACAAATTGAATGTTTTAATGCAGAAATTTATTATTTTAAGATTTATTTATTTTTATTTGAAAGGCAGAGTTACAGAGAGGCAGGGGCAGAGAGAGAGAGAGAGAGAGAGGTCTTCCATCTGCTGGTTCAATCCCCAGATGGCCACAATGGCCAGAGCTGTGCAGATCCGAAGCCAGGAGCCAGGAGTTTCTTTCATGTCTCCCATGTGGGTGCAGGGGCCCAAGCACTTGGGCCATCTTCTACTGCTTTCCCAGGCCACAGCAGAGAGCTGGATCTGAACTTGAACTAGCGCCCATATAGGATGCCGGGCTGCAGGCGGCAGCTTTACCCGCTACGCCATGGCAACAGCCCCTATGGATAAATTTAAATAAGATACTCTGAGTCTCCAAACCAGGGAAACTGTAGGTGGGGACTACAAGATAGCAACAATGGCGCTTCCACCTGGGTCCTCTTGTTACCTCGCATCTGCTGTGACTTAGTTTCTCATCCTAAGAGGGCAGATGGCTTGGTTTTTGGAGTTGGGATATTATCGTTATCTCAAAAATCAACCTCATCATCGGCGTCACAATGGCCAACAGATTTTTCCCAGTGGTTAATCGGCTACCTTGGAGAAGGAGATGTACAAATCAAGACGGCCCTGCCAATCCTGAACTGGAAGTCCCATCAGTTGTAGCATGAATGGAAACTTTAGGGCGCGGCTTTGAAGGAGGGACCATAGGAAAATGCTTTCATTGTCCTAACAATAATGCTGATAGAGGATGAAAGGGGTAGTTGTGAGGCATGCTCACTAAGTGTAGGCACAGACTGCGGAATGCCATTTTTCTGCTTCTTCCTCCACATCTTCATGACAACCTTATGAGACAGATGCGT